TGTCTCAAAAAAAATAAAAAATAAAAAAAATAAAATTACCTTCTTTCTGATACAAATATCTTTAAAAGATTGCGAACAACTTCAAAGGCTGAAGAGTAAAGAAGTTTAAAGCCTATAAGTTTAGAGCCAGTGCCCTTTGAAGATAGCTCATAATTGAAAATATAGCATGTTATATTAAGGTCATAGTTCATGATCCTCAGGAAATCCCCTCCACTGGATCAAGCCAGCTCAGCACCTGGGGACACGGCCCTACTCCTGCAGCTCCGTGGGACCCCCAGGCTGCTCAGGTGGGCTCAGAGCAGAGATGGAGGTGGGGAGAGTGGAGTTCAGGTGCGCACGCCCCCTCTGCCCTCCCCGGGGGCCTAAGTCCGTGTGGGTGCCCTCAAGTCTCACTCTGATCACTAATGAAATGGAGGAAATGCTGCCTACAGCACTGGGTTGAGAGAATCTGCCCGGTACCTTGAGTTGCTCACTGGGCATGAGCCCCGTTACTGATGACTGTCACTGTCACACGATGTCACTGAGCATGAGCACAGTTACTGATGATTGTCACAGTGTCACTGAGCGTGAGCACAGTTACTGATGACTGTCACAGTGTCACTGAGCATGAGCACAGTTACTGATGACTGCGACTGATACACGGTGTCACTGAGCGTGAGCACAGTTACTAATGACTGACACTGTCACACAGTGTCACTAAGCGTGAGCACAGTTACTGATGACTCTCACTGTCACACGGTGTCACTGAGCGTGAGCACAATTACTGATGACTATCACTGATACATGGTGTCACTGAGCATGTGCACAGTTACTGATGACTGTCACTATCACACAGGTGTCACTGAGCGTGAGCACAGTTACTGATGACTGTCACTATCACACATGGTGTCAGTGTGAGCACAGTTACTGATGACTCATTATCACGGTGTCACTGAGCGTGAGCACAATTACTGATGACTCATCACACGGTGTCGCTGAGCATGAGCACAGTTACTGATGACTGTCACTATCACACACGGTGTCACTGAGCGTGAGCACAGTTACTGATGACTCATCACACACGGTGTCACTGAGCG